TAATAAGGCTAATGTGAGTGGAATCTTTGGCAAAAAAAAATAGGTTCAGGATAGTTAGCAGTATAAACCCAAAAGAAAACATTTGTTTCAGTTTATCAATTCTTAGATGTGATGGCTTCATTCATTTTTTTCTTTAGGCTGGTGATCCAGCCAGTAAGCCTGCTGTTTATAAAAAGAACAAGCTCTCCAGCAGAGATAAGGCAGATAAGTTTACCTGTGACAGGGGATAGCTTTTGATTATATGTGTAAAAACCTTTATCCCAAAAAATGATTTGCTAAAGCTGCTTATAAAGCATTAGCTCGAGTTTGGCTTCAATTTGTTAATGTATTTTAAATCTGCTACTACATCTAACACTTCCTTCTCTCCAGACTAAAAGTGCTGTTGTCCAAAGGTGTCCCCTGTTCATTCAGAGTAAAGGCATTTTAATACAGGAGGGGTTTTACTGGCCAGATCACCAAGTGAAAACAAATGAAAAAAACCTCAAAAGAAAACTGATGCAGCCACAACATTGTCTCATCCTACACTATCACTTCCATCCTCACTCTACATTTCGGCCACTAGATGGCGCAGACAGTCATAGGAATTAATCTATTACAATATCTAATATAAGAGGAAAATATTTGTCCAGAAAATGTCTTAGAAATAGATCACTAAGTGTTAGGTCCCATTCAAGTCTGTGCGTTGTAAAATGCTATATGCATTTTACGAAAATACATATTGCATTTTTATTGCATTTTTAATGCATTGCATTGAATTTTATGTGTTTTACGTCCATATTCCTCTACTGGTAAAATGGACATGTGACTCAACTGATTTTTTTTTTTGGGCCATTTTTGGTGTGCACTCATTTCTCATTCATTTGGTGTGTTTTTTCACAAAATGCACTGAAGATGCAGAAAGCGAGTCTTTTGAAAAGAGCAGCGCTCTGTATAAAAATGCAGCACATGTGAACAGATGGGAACAGTTACATAGCATTTAAAGGAGACTATTTTACATATGCTTTTGAAATGCTGACTGGTACGTTTTAGCACACAGATGTGAACAGGTCCTTAAAATGATTGTAAAGGCTCAAGGTTTTTCACTTTCCTGATTCTATGCAGGAAGGTAAAAAACATTCTGTGCACATCAGTGCCCCCAACCCCCTCATTACTTACCTGAGCCTCATCGCAATCCATCAATGTGCACAACAGGCTCGGCTGTACCGGGTCTCTGCCTCCTCATTGGCTGAGACAGCAAGTGGGAGCCATTGCTATCAATGACAGCCAGTCAACCAATGAGGAGAGAGAGAGGGGGTGGGGCCAAGCTGTGGCTCCATGTGTGAATGGACACACGGAGCTGCGGCTTGGGAACAGCCTGCCTAGGTGCCCCCATAGCAAGCTGTTTGCTATGGGGTCACCTGACAGAAAGGAGGAGCCGGGAGCACCGACAGGGTACCTGAGAAGAGGAGGATCCAGGCTGCACTGTGCAAAACCACTGCACACAACAGGTAAGTATAACATGTTTGTTATTTTACAAACAAAAAACCTTTGTGTTGTATAGACCACGTAGGGAAGAGTAAGAACCCTTGCCAAGTTTTACTGCTATTGGTGCCTCCATTATAGAGATTTCCCCTCACTTCCTGTTCTGCTGTCAACAGCTTCTCCAGATAGGAAGTAAGAGTTTCCAGTGGCAACACAGACAGAAACAAAATGCTTTTTCTGTAGCGAAAATGATTGTTAAAAACCCTGCCAGCTTTGTACTGATATCTGTGTCTCCATTGCAGAATCTCCCCCTTGTCAGCAGAACAGAAAGTGAGAGGAAATCTCTGTAAATGATTCATGGATAGCAGTAAAATCTAACCCATCCCAAAAAAATAAAAAATCTTGGCTAAACATACACTTAACGGCCACGTTCACACTTGAGTGTTTGTGATCTTGGGCAGAATTGGCTCGATTCTGCTGCAATTCCAAAACCCTCTGCACAAATGACAAATCGCACCACGCCTGTTCTGGTGCCATTCATTTTCAGTGGCATCAAAACGCGGTGCAGTTCCGCCCCGACGGTCATGCTGAAATTGCTCTGTAATCGTGGTGAACCGCATCGCACAAAGCTAGGTGCCCAAAAGAATCCTTTTTGAGTGACAAGCTTTGCACAATGCGGTTTGCCGCGATTGCAGCCCAAATTATTGTGCGACAGTCGAGGCAGAACTGCACCGAATTTTGGTGCAATTGAAAATGAATGGCACCAGAACAGGTGTTGAAGCATGAGACATCACTATGTGCTACTCGGAAGCTGAATGTCAAAGGAATCACCTCACTGGCAGATATAGAGGAGCAGTGCCCCAGTGTTAGTCCAGTCACATACATGGAGGAAGAAGAAAAGACACTGCTCTCACCTCCCATACAGTCCCGTGTGTAGAGGCTGGCGTCTTCAGTGAAACCAGTCACGCCTGCTGATGCGTTTCGCCCCACCCACTGGGGCTTGATCACAGAGGAGTGCAGAACAACAGGCGCTCTGAGCTTTTATGTGCATCATTGGCCACAAACGAGATTAGGTGTTTGGTAAAGGGGAGTGATAATGAAAATGAGAAGAGAAAAAAAAAAAACAGATGAAAAAGAAAAGTGAAAAGAAAAAAGGGGGAAAAAGAAAAAAGAAACAAATACAATAAATAATAAAGAAAAAAATTTATAAAAATAATGAAATGAAGAAATAAAAAAAAATAAAAATATGAAGAAAGTACAAAAAGTAGTATATCTAAAGAAAAAGATGAAAAAGATGAAAAAACGAAAAAAAAACAGGAAGAAGAGAGTAACATGATCCATGGAGAAAAGGGAAAAAAAAGGGGAAAAAGGAGAAGAAAAAATAAGAAATAGGGATAAAATGAAACTTTATTACATCCATATAAATTTTTTTTTTTTTAAAAATGTATATTTCTTCTCCTTTTTTTCCCTTTTCTCCATGGATCATGTCACTCTCTTCTTGTTTTTTTTTTTTTTTTTTTTTTATCTTGCAGCTTTTTCCTTTAGAATTTTTTTTTTTTTATTATTTATTGTATTTCTTTTTTTTCTTTTTCCCCCTTTTTTCTTTTCGCTTTTTTTTTTCATCTTTTTTTTTCTTTCTCTTCTCATTTTCATTATCACACCCCTTTACCACACACCTGTTCACATTTGTGGCCAATGATGTACATAACAGCTCAGAGCGCCAGTTGTCCTGCACCCTCTGTAATCAAGCCCCAGGGAGCGGGGTGAATTGCGTCAGAGGGCGTGGTCGACATGATGGCTGAGGCCACCCTCTACGCATGGTACTGTACGGGAGGTGAGAACGGTGTCTTTTCTTCTTCCACCAGAACAGGTGTTCTGCAATTTGTCATTTGTGCAGATTGTTTTGTGATCACAGGCAGAATTGCGGTAAATCTGCTCGAAATCGCAAATGCTCAAGTGTGAACAGGGCCTAAAACTAAACGCTGAGCAAACCTCTAAATACTGAGATCAATAACACATATGAGAGCTGTTCTGCCAGCCAAGGAATTTTTATTTCTGTTCATCCAGTTTTGAGATTTATACAGTTCTGCAGTACAGCACTTGACAGCATCTGTCACTTTTGAAATTAAACGTGCAAGGGGTCTGCCCACAGAGCTACGCCATTCATTCAAAGAGATATGTGAATGAATAAACTACAAGTTCTGTCTGCCACCGTGGCAGATGGACTTCTTTTTCTCAATGAAACTCAAATATGGTAATCAGTGTAGATGTACAGGTAGTGAGCCTGAGGTAGAGTCTGCAGGAGCCTGGCATTGCCCCTATGATTCACTGATCACAGGTGCAATGGTTTGCAGGCTCTTGTGAAAAAAAATAAATAAATGCAATTTTTCCCCTGGAAAAATGTGTACTTATTTTTTTTTTTTTTTTCATTTGGATGAACATTGCCTTGAGTCTGGGTTCACACTGATGTGGTGCAGAATTTGCAGCGTTTTCTGTGTGAATTCTGCACCGCATCACAATTGCACCCCGTTCATGCGTACCACTGCGGATGTGTATGTTAAGTTAACAACACCCCAAAATCGGTCCGCAAAATGCAGTGCGATGTGCAGAATTGGATCTCATAGCTGTGAATACCCATGTGATCAAATTCTAGTGTGGACAAAAAAGGGTCCTGAACCTTTTTGATGTGGATGCGATTTGAGCCATACAAAATGTATGGCTCCAATCGCACCGCACACAATTCGCATGTGATTTGCACAGGAATGTGGTGTGGTTCCTGTGCGAATCACATGTGATATACCGCACCTCACAAGTGAAGAACCCAGGCTTAAGGGTTAAAGTGTTACTAAACCCAGGACCCTGCATTCACTATATCTGGTCTCCTACAGTACACAGAACACAGAATTGCAATTAATTTAGTAAATATAAACTGCTAAATACCTTTTCTCCTCAGTAGTATATAGCAGTCTTGTGACTTCTATCAGTGTTCAGCTGAACACAGGGGAAAGCTTGTAGGAGGAGTTTTCATTCTCCTCTCACTGCCCTCTGACCCTCTGTCTGGACAATGCTGATTGGCTCTGTGCTGATCACATACACCCTCCCAAGAAAAAGAAAACACGCTTTAACAATATACACCAAACTGAGCATGTGCAGAATGTCCCCAAGACTCTTTTCTATCAGGAGATGAAATGGGGAACGTGAAAGAAGGGGATGATCAGAGAAGACAGGATCAAATGTAGAGGATTAACCCGTTAGGTTCCACAGTGAGCATAACAAGCATGCTTTACTGCATACACAGACTGATTGTACTGTTGTGGGTTTAGTAACTCTTTAACCACCTCCTGCCCGCCATATAGCACAATGACGGGCGCAAGGTGGTTCTCTCGTTCTGGGAGGACGTCATATGACGTTCTCCTATTCTCACTGTGCATGCGTGGCTCAGGGAGCGCGCTGCGCGGCGATCGATGGTGCGCTGTGTCTCTCGGACACAGCGGATCACCAATCACGGAAAGAGCCGAAGATGTCGGCTCGGTCATGTGATCAGCTGTGTCCAATCACAGCTGATCACATGTAAACAGGGTAATGCTGGTTATCGGCATTTCTCTCCCCTTGAGCTGTCACACTGACAGAGGAGAGCCAGTAATTGGCTTTCTGGGGACATGTTCACTGATCATCAGGGCACTCATGATCAGTGTGCCCTGATGATCAGTGTGGCCCCAGCAGTGCCACCTGTCAGTGTCCATCAGTGCCTTATGTCAGTGCCTCGTGCCAGTGCCCATCAGTGCCACATCAATGCCACATATCAGTGCACACCAGTGCACATCAATGCCACATATTAGTGCCCATCTGAGCTGCCTTTCAGTGTCACCCATCAGTGCCAGTCAGTGCCACCTATCAATGCCAGTCATTGCCACCTAGCAGTGCTGCCAATCAGTGCCACCTATCAGTGCTGCCAATTAGTGCCACCTATCAGTGCCAGTCAGTGCCGCCTATCAGTGCCAGTCAGTGCTGCCTATCAGTGCTGCCTAATAATGCCAGTCAGTGCCGCCTACCAGTGCCAGTCAGTGCCACCTAACAGTGCCAGTCAGTGCCACCTATCAGTGCTGCCTATCGGTTCCATATATCAGTGCCATTTATCAGTGCTGCCTTTCAGTACCCATCAGTGATGCCTGTCAATGCCCATCAGTGCCACCTACCAGTGCCTCCTCATCAATGCCCATCAGTGCCACCTATCAGTGTCCATCAGTGCAGCCTATCAGTGCCCATCAGTGCAGCCTCATTAGCTCACATCAGTGAAGGAGAAAAATCACTTATTTACAAAATGTTATAACAAAAACTAAGAAAAAACAATTTTTTTTCAAAATTTTCAGTGGTTTTTGGTTTGTTTAAGAAAAAATAAAAAACCCAGAGGTGATTAAATACCACCAAAATAAAGCTCTATCGGTCACAAAAAAATTATAAAAATTTCATATGGGTACAGTGTTGTTTGACCGCGCAATTGTCATTCAAAGTGTGACAGCGCTGAGAGCTGGAAATTGGCCTGGGCAGGAGGGGGTATAAGTGCCCTGTAGGCTAGCGGTTAAGCGCCAAAGCCCAATTGAATTTTTGGGTACAATTCTGTGCTTTAAAACAGTAAATGTTCTCAGTCTTATAATGTGTTTAGCTCACAAAGAAGCTACAACCATAGTGAACCAGCCTGCCCCTGCCTTTACGCTGCGGGTAGAAGACCACTGCTCTATGTTTATATAGAAGTGATATAGCGACCTCTCTGCAGTGATCTGACCTGCCCCAGTGATTCAGAGCTGGTGCTGTCCACTCAGCAAAGCTCACACCATCTCCTGACTGGTGAGCTCTATCTCTGATTTAGAGGGACTAGCTGCTTTCACACAAGGAGCAGTGGTCCCTTTCTGGAGCAAGATGGCAGGGGACTGGCTTGTTTACTATGGCTGGGGATGCTTTATCAGCTACATTAACAGTAATACTGGGTACACACAGAACGTTTTTCTTCGTTCAACCCAGCGGACTGAATGAAAAAAACATACAGATCGATATACTAACACATCCGATGTTGGTGCTGCAAATCTCCCCACAGCCAGAATACACTGATCAGCGCTCGCAGCCATTGGCTACCAGCACTGATCAGATGTTGATCACCTGCCTGTTTAAGGCTGGCCATACACTATCCAATTTTCTGCCCAATTTCCTTTAGATTTACCTTCAACTATGTAGTGCACGAGCCTGCCTAATTGGATACAATTGAAAGTGTTGTTAGGTTTGACCTCCTATTTTATGGTTTTTGGTAAATCTAAACCAAAAATCTCAAAGTCATTGTATAATGTATGGCCAGCCTAACAGAAGCCAGTCATGAGACTGGCTTCTGTCGGATGAGGAGCTGTACACATAGGCCGTATTGTACCCAGCTTAAAACTGTGGGCAGTTTTTTTTTTACTGCACCTGGAATCTATTTCAATAGTTGTACCTTATGGGGTTTTATTATTTGGGTGGCGTTATGTGCATGGGACACCTAAAGAGTTAGGTTAAGGTCAATGGGCAGGGGTATGCAAAGCAACTTTTTTTCTCATGTTTGCAATGACAAATAATACCAGCACATAGCATAGTGAAAATTTTTAATTTACTGCATTTGTTAAAGAGGAACTACACTGCATATGAGCATCACAATTCAAGAACGCAATTTAATTAATTTTAATATTCAAAGCAAACACATCCATCCACCCATGTCTCCATGCTTTATTGTGCTGAGAAATCACATTGAAAAACACTCCCTCACTTTGGCCATCTTGGGTAAGGGCAGATGATTCTTGTAGCATTTCCTGGAATCCATCTGCCCTTAGCTCAGGCATGTAGGCAGGAGGGTGTGGTTAGCTGTGAAAACGCCTCCTCCCCTCCTGAAGACTCCTGGCATGTATGCCATCATGGAACCAGGAAGTAACTGAAGAAATGTAAAAAAAAGAAGTTTTAAACATGTAAATATAATATACTTTCCTATCTATTTACTAATGCTGGCAGCGTATGGATTAAAATTAGCCAATGCTGATTGGGAGAGTGAAGATCCACTTTATTGCGAAATACATTAAATCATATTATTAGAAAATCCATTGTGAACATTTTTTTATTTTACTTATTTATATTACTGTGTATTTTTTAAAATCTATTCTATGGTAACACGGGCAGCTCAGTGGCTAAATGGTTAGCACTTCCCCTAGGGTCGTTGGTTTGAATCCCAACCACAGCACCACCTGCCTGGAGTTTGCATATTCGCCCTGTGCCTGCGTGGGTTTCCTCCCACAATCCAAAGACATGCTGGTAGGTTAATTGGCTCCTGTCTAAATTGGCCCTAGTATGTGTATGTATGAATGTAAGTTAGGGACCTTAGATTGTATGCCCCTTGAAGGTTAGGGACTGATGTGAATGTACAATATATATATATATATATATATATATATATACTGTATATATGTACAGCACTGTGTAAATTGATGGCGCTATATAAGTACCTGTAATAAATAAATAATAATATTCTGGCTGCTGTAAATATGTTTTAACTTTTACATTTTGAAGTATGAAAAAACACACATTAATATTCCATAACAGCAGCAGGTGGCAAGCTTTAGTGAAAAGTCTACCTGGGTAGTTACATACGTCTAATTTCCTTTAATACCACCTCACAAAATAGTTTTAAGCTCAAATCTCATTTTTACGTTTTTTAATGCATACACCTCCACTCATGCAGCCACTGCTGTGTTTCCTGAATAAATAAAACAGCTAACATGAATCATAAATGGCCATGAAAGCATCCCCTGTAAAAGTATTTTAATATTTTATTTCAAGCAAATAAAATATTTGTATAAACATATAAATTCTCATGCAAGAAATCGTTTATTAAAATGCTGATGATTTTCTTGTCTGGCCAATTTTCATTATAACTGAACAATACTGGGGTATATGGGAAAAGACAGCTCTTCAGTAATGTGAGTAAGATTTTAATACACTTTTTTTCCACAATTCCACTGATTCACGAAACCCCTTTATGTCTAATGACCAGTCTAAAATATTATCAGATTTTGGTTTCAATCCCAGGAAGTCAGATATGACACTGTAAGTTCACAACCTGCACGCTAGGTAAATATATGGTTTCTATGTATTCCAGGACAATCTGTTTTTTCCATCTTCAGGAAGTAATACGTCAACTTAATGTTAATGCTGTGCCAGAGAATGGATTTATTGAAATGATATTCCATCTGATGTTCTATCTAAGACTATTGCAAAAAATACTTATATAAGACTGGTAATTTTAGCATTCACTTAAAGTCTTCTCCACCTTCTTAAAGCTTAAATCAGTTTCAAGCAACAAACAGCTCATCTTTGGGGACAAAATTATGTCTATCACATTAAAAGAGTTATTGCTCTATTGACTTGAATAGCACTCAGCTGCCACATTTACTCACATGAGCTGATAAATTTGCAATGGGTGAAAGACAGAAATAAGACGGAAATTGATTCATAAGTTTGTGTAGAATAGAAGCCCTGAAAATGCCTCTATTAAAAATCTGCAATTTTTCACAAGGCTTCGCTTGCCTTAATAAATGTGAAAATGGGTTTGATTTCATTCAGAATTAATGTAGTTTGAAATTGAAATGAGTCGCACTTCCTGCCTTTAGGAGATCTGCTGACATTTCCACTCTGATCATTGTAGCCTGAGAAACAAAACATAGGAAGAAAGTAGAAAATAAGATAAATTCTGTATAATTTGCACAACAACCACTTAAGACCAATTTTATCAGGTCAAAAATAATTACATTTTTAAAATGTCAGTTCACTATGGGCAATGACTTATGTTTTATACAGAATATCAATAGATATTGCCTGTGCTTTAGCAGTATATTAGTGGCTGACTGATACACCTGAAAATGTTTTCAATTTTTTCTCAGTTTTTTTTTATTTAAAATTATATAGTTGCATTTCATCTATTGTCAGAATAATGACAGTGACAAAATCTTCAAAGCTCTAGGCCTAAGCTATTCGGTTCATTTTTAGATTTGTCTTTAAGCTCAAAAATTTTCCAGCAATTGGCCTTGAAATGTGATAAAGCTCAGAACAATGGATTCCTGTGTACTGTATTAAACTTCTTCCCCATAGAATGTAGGACAGTGCTTTTAACTTTAGATAGAGACCATGGCATTCCACAATCATTTAAGTGACCATTGGACACATAAGTGGAGAAACTAGTTGGCCCTGAACCTGACTAGTTTAGTCCTAAACAAATATAAAAATTATATTAAAAAATATCTATAAAACCACTATACCTACCTTTTAATGGGATGTGAGAGCCACTGCTTTCTTTCTTATGACACCATTGTTACATAGTTAGTATGGTTGAATAAAGACTTCGGTTCATCCAGTTAAACCTGAGTGTGTGTGAGTGTGTATGTGTGAGATTACTGTTTTCCATATCCCTGTATATTGTGTTCACTGAGAAATACATCTAAACATTTTTAGTTGAGGGCCCCCTCTCCTGAACCATACCAGGCCACATGCCCTCAACATGGGGGAGCACTCTTCCCCTACAAGGGCCTCTTCTTCACAACCCTTACTTTTTACGTTTTGTTGGTGAATGAGTAGGGGTACTATGTACCCCTTATTCATTCACTTATGGGGCCAGGATCTGGGAGCCTCCTTGTTACAGGGGGCTTTCAGATTCTGATAAGCTACCCTTGGCACCCCCACAACCACCAGACCAGGGTTGTGGGGAAGAGGCCCTTGTTGGGCCCCTTGTGCTTTGCCAGGGGGTCCCCCTGGCAAATTGTCCCCCCATGTTGCAGGCACATAGCCTGGTATGGTTCAGTAGGGGGAGACGCTTGCTGGTCCCCCCTTTCCTGCCCTGCCAGGCTGCATGCT